TTGGAGAACAAGGAGGTGATGGCGATAGGCCGGTAGTTGGACGGGTCTGAGCGGTCGCCTTTTTTAGGGATCGGGTGGACGAAAGCCGTCTTCCATGATTTTGGGACTACGCCTAGGGAGTAGGAGTACCGGAAAAGAAGCTTTAAAACTGGTGCCAATTCTGGAGCACACGTCCTCAGCACAATTGGGGGGATTCCGTCAGGCCCACTCGACTTGTGGATGTCCAGGGAGAGGAGTGCTTTGCGAACCGAGCGCTGAGTGAACTGCACTTCCGGCATGGAGCACTCACACCGCGGGATGGTCGTCGGCGTACTCCCCCCGTCATCGAGAGTCGAGTTAGACGCAAAGAAAGAGCCTAGAAGATCGGCTTTCTCCTTTGCGGTGTGGGCCAGTGAGTCGTCCTCCCTGTGCAGAGATGGAAGAGATGGCTGACAGAAATTCCCCTGGACAGCCTTGGCGAGAGACCAGAATGCACGGGTTCCAGAAGGAAGACGAACTAGTCTCTCGCCAATTCTGCCTATGTGCTCTGACTTTGCCTTGGCAATGACTCTTTTGAAGGACCTAGAGGCGGAATTATACTTCTTTTTTAGAGCGCTGGTGTTTACATCCCTGGACGCTGATGCGTCAGCCCAGGCTCGGTAGCACTCCTGCTTATAGCATGATGCTATTTTACAGGAGCGACCAAACCATGGCTGAGATTTGCCTCCAATGGGCACCACAGAGGAAGGAATAAAAAGTTCCATACCCTGAAGTACCGCATCAGCGACAGAATCCGCAACAACGTTGGGATCGTCCGGCGAGAAGCAAACCCGCCCCCAAGGGTAGGATGCAAAGAAAGACCGCATCCCATCCCAATCGGCTGACCTATAGTGCCAAACACGGCGGCAGCCTGCAAAATGCAACCGCGATTTCAGCGTGAGTGGCACCACACTCCGGACAAGACAATGGTCCGAGGAGCCTAAAGGGGCGTCGACGGAAATCTGATATCCGTCCGGGTGAGAGGTCAGCAGAAGGTCCAACAGGGAAGGTGCATGATCCTCCACATCTGGAATCCGCGTAGGCGAAGTAACCAGTTATGTCAGACCATATGCCAAGGCAAAATCATGAACAGATCTCCCCGCATGATCGGTTAAACGTGAACCGAGCCATTCGGCGTGATGGGCGTTAAAGTCGCCGAGGATCACGATCTCTGCGGAGGGGATCTGCTGTAGCAACGAATCTGCAGCCATTTGGACGTGGTCGAAGAGTCGGACTGTTTCGGCATGACCGCTCTGGGACCTATAGAGGCACCCGTAGACGCGCGGATGGTCGTCGCTGTCTACGCGTAGCCAAAGGATGGACAGGTCCGAACCTTCAAGTCTGCCGAGGCGTCGAGAACAGATGTCCTCTCTGACGTAAACGCAAACTCCAGCCCGAGGCACAAAGGAGTGTTCCAGTTTGTACCCCGGGGCAGGAGAGATACGAGACATCAGCCGGAGAGGACACCTGCGTCTCGGTCAGAAAGAGCAGAGCCGGCCTCGCCGTCTCGAGATGGTAGTGGACGGCGTTTAGGTTAGAGTGAAGTCCCCTGATATTGCAGAAATTCACGGACAGCGTGGCTTGGGTCGTCTTGGTCTTGTTGCTCCGTTTGCCCCAAGCAGTTTTAGTCTTGAGCGGAATTTTGCCCCCCCCCCCCCCCAGAATACGCGGGGCAGCCTGAGCACCCACGCTCAGAAGTGGAGAAACATGGTCGTGGATGCTCAGCGAGGGATTCTCCAGGGGTGCTGGTACCCTCCTGGGGTAGTTTATCATTTAATTCCGTTACCATGTTGATGGGGGGGGGGGGATTTGGGCCTCCGGCCACCTGCACTCACCAGACGAATCGCGGAAGCAGAGCTTCCACTTCACGTCGGTATTCTGTGAGGTCGTGGTACCACCCCGGATTGAGCCGGCCCATACGTGCGACAGCAAAGCTGCCGCGTGGCTCTACCACTGTGAGCAAATAAGATTTTGAGATAACCGCTCTGTAAAATAAAAACTTTCTTTAAATAAAACTATTTATAGGGATTTTTATCGCGTTTAATTAACTTATTTTTAAATACCGATGTTTCGGGTGCTTTAAAGCGCCCTATGGTCACGGTGGGCATTGAGATGTTTGACGTCCCATAGTTAGCCCGGCTACTTTCAGTTTCTGAATATTAATTTTTGATCCGATCTACGCAGAACGAGCTTACAGTACCTTGAAGTCTTGCAGTGGTATGCTTGGATTTGGATTTAATTATGTTCACTATAGGATCCCAGGCAGGTGGGAGCACCCACCCGTCTTCTCTATTGAAATTAGGATGTTTTTTCTTTAATTTCAATAGCCTCGCGTACCATCTTTGGTAGTAATCAGTGTTCTTTTGTGAGAATTTGTAGTTTATCAAATATTATTTAATGGTGGGGACGATCTTGAACATATTCTTCGATCTTGAACTCTTTTTAGTTCAAGTGTGATAAACGAGTACACAGTCCACCTGATGGTAAGTGGACGCTGTGGCCGATAGACATCTAAATTTATCCTCGATTAAGAGTCAAAATGCAGATTCGTTGTCACCCCTGAGGACCAAGATGGAATACCTCGTGTCCAATTAAAAAGGGTCTCCTGATCACTACACTCTCCATACGAAACACAATAGTCTTAAGCTGCTATTATACGCTGGTATTCTGTGAGAGCGTGATCCCTTTCCCGATCGAGCCGACACTTTCGTGCTACAACCATAATATAGCTGCAGCGTGGCTTTACCACCTATAAAATATATATTCTTACAATCTGTAACACACCATTTCACCCCCTTAGGGGTTGAATTTTCCAAAATCGTTTCTCAGTAGGTAGTTGTTTACGTTTAAAAGGCAGCTACTGTCCAAATTTCAAATTTCTGGGTTTAACGGTTTGGGCTTTGCGTTGATAGATGAGTCAGTCGCTCAGGACATCCTCCTTTATTTAAAAGTATAGACAGTAAAATCTGTGTAAATTTCCTACTTTGAATGAACACAGGCAACTTGACTATATATGCCGTTGTATTGGTTGGTGAAGCATATTGTGTCGACTACTAGTGCAGCTGGAGGTAGGAGATTATCAAGGCTGCGGCTGAAAGCCACTCAACGTGAGACCCTTCCCTTGAGGTGAACAGCAGACTGTCATGACACGCTTTGCCTATTACGACGCGTGCCTAAACCGTGTGACGTACATTCACTTTGACTGGATTTGATCGTATTCTGTATGGCATTTACACGCATTAAGATGCGCGACTTCGGTCGATTTTTGTGCTTACGCACTACCAAGAGTCAAACCCTCTTTTACTGTTTCGTAAGTTATTTTATTGTAGAATATGCTCCAGTCCCCAAACTTTGGGGGGAGCTTGTTACATGGGTAAGCGCTCCCGCACACAGTGTTGGCCTGTGTAGAGCCGTAGGCCTCCCTCACATTTTATTAAATCTGGGCGAGCGAAGCCCTTGTATCGGGTGCTTTTTATATAAATATTGTGTCTTCTCTAAGCGGGATAGGATTATTTAATAAGGAAATTACTTATGAGAACCTGGTACAAATGGAAAAGGGACGATTTAATGCTCTTAACTTTGTTGAGACCTTGTTTGGCGGGGTTCTCTAACTTAAAATAATTGGATAAGTATAAGGCAACTCCTAACATTTTACTATTGCTCTAGTTAATATTCATTTTTCCAAGAGATACCTAAAAGAATTCACGTTACGTCACTAAACAAACACAACGTCAATAAGGGTCTTAGCTGAGACGATCACGAAAAATATAACAAACGGTTTAAAACTAAACCTTAGAGATATCTTTTGGCAAAAAACAAGATTCATTATCCTGGTTGCAAATCAGCAGCATTGATTGCTATTCGAATGACAGTATGGTAACGCGGTTAACGCTTTTTACACCAGTAGTGCCAATATATCTCGGGTACATCAATATTTATTGAACTAAGTCTCGGATTAAGGTCGACTAAATCTAGAAGTTTGCCGCTAAAAATATCTCCTTTGACGCATCTTTTTAATTTTAGGCACTCCCCCTGCTGTCTCAGCCAGCATCAGAGTTCTAGGCATCAATATGTCAAATGACGTATACTTTCGTGGTCACTTGAATGGATTGGTAAATTGGTGTCTAAAAAGTTTGGCGTGCTCAGTAGAGAGGGACAGTATGTCAAGCCGGCACACCTCTTGCTTACGTAAGTTCGTATTTTTTTAATTTTAAAATTAAAATTTCAATACCGACTTCATCCCTGGACCGAGGCACCCCAATGTCAGCTCCTTCTACTTGATCGTACCCAGCGCTGAATGGCTCGATTCGTTGATGACCGTACGTAAATATGTAAATGTTTAAAAAAAAAACTCAAAAAGTAAAAAATAATAGTCATCATTTATTTTTCTTTAAATTGTATCAAATTAATTAATCTGTATCAGTTAACAAAATTTCATAATTAAATTTATAAATCTAACAAAGTAATAAAAATTGTATTCGATCTTTTTAATTGTAATAAATGAATACAGAAATCAAGAAAAAGAAACAAAATAAATAAAAACAATTATTAAGAAATGAAAACAGGAAAAATAATTAATAGAATCAGGTGTTACCTTGCGGAAATCCAATATAATATTAAAGGTGTTAAAACTAAGCGAGTTAGCGGTCAGCTACCGCAGTCTACATCACTTGAAGTTGCCTCTTGTAGAGGTGAAACCGTGTCGTATTATCGTCAATGGTGTGTCTTATCTAGTGTAGTGGTGTTGGGAGTAGTGGTGTTGGGAGCAGTGGTGCTGGGATTAGTAGTAAGATTAGAAGTTATTATTAAGTTAGAACGCAATTGAGGGAGGGCGGGAGATGCTCTTCAAACTAGATAAGACACATCATTTTATTTAATTTCTTATTTATTAGAATTTATTCTTAACAACTTTAAAAAAACAGGAAAAAATATTATAAAAATAAAATAAAGAAATGAGATAATATCTAAAGAGGTAAAAAATATCACTTTGTTTTTAATTTTTTACTTGGAGTAGAGTCTTGACGTACTGTTTTAAAGTATAAACCGTAGAAGACTCCAGCAGCTACAATGATAATAGTCGATATTATTATTATGTATTCCGCACGATTTCTGAAAACAAAATTAATTATTGTAAATGTCTTTCTATTGTAGTCATGGCATTGTTCAAGGTTCAATACCTAAAAAATTCGGGAATAATCGAAACAGTTTAGGACGAAATACAGAATAGCAACCGTTACAAATAGAATAGAATAGCTACTGTAAATTTTAGGGTTAAAGCTATGCAATTCTTTTCAGTATAAACAATGGTTATTTATAAATTAGTTTTTTTTTTAAAGAAAATGTATTGCACATAATTAAAAACGATTTACGTGTACGTATTTAATTAAAAGTTCTATCTACCAGAAAATTATGCTAACGTATGTTGAAACAAAAAGTATTTCGAATATAGTTTTTTTTTTAAATTTAATATTTAAATCACCAATTCATATACTCAGTAGCAGATAGAAAAATTACAGGTTTTTACAAATAACTGTTTGGAATTGGAACTAATGTTTGAAGGCATGGCTGAAACAGCTTGGAACCAAGCTCTTCTATGCTCTTGCTTGTTTGTTGTGTTTGTTAACCAAGTTAAAAAAACGAGTGTGCTTATGGCCACGCGACTGAAGTAAAACGGCGCCGCGGCGCAGTGGCTTAGCAATGAGTGACTGCGCTGGGGGCCGCGGGTTCGAATCCCGCACGGTACAAGTATTTGTATGGCCTACAAATAATTGTTCCGGGTCTGAATGTTTGTACTTGTGCAATTTATGTTTGTAAACTGCCTCCATGATACAGGAAAAAATCCTAGTGTAACGTTAGGGTTAGGGGTAACGTTTTATAAAGATAAAAAAGGGAAAAAAATTACTTTAACTCCATCGGTATGTATGTATATATATATACACATATATGTATACAGATATACGTATATGTATAATATATACATATACCGGCTTGACGCTGACATGTATTTGGGAAAACGAGACATTATGACAAATACACAAGATGGAAAGAGATAGATAATAGATTGTCAACTCCACAGTCGTTTTTAAGGTAAATGACCTTTCGTATCGCTGCTAGTTGGCCGTACCTTAGTCACTTCGTGCCGTAAACGCCGTAAGAGGTGACTATAAGAAAGTACCTGAAACCGCTCGCTGAAAATATAATACATATATTACTTATAAATACATATATTAATTTTTTATAAATATTTAAATTTATAATCAGTTTCTTTCTATAATTTGTATTTATTCACCCGAAAATTCACAAAACACGAACTTAAAAATGAATTTATAATTTTATTTACTTTACACGTAGAATATTTAATGTATTGAACATAATATTATTTCATAAAATACGGAACGTAACTGGCTATGAGAGAAAGAGAGAAAGAAAGTGTGCGCGCGCACTGCTCTCTGTTGCTTAACGCACACACACTTTTCGTAACGCTTTCGTCACGCGTTTGCCGGCTTACTCCCCAAGTCGAGCGTACGTAAAGAAATTTTACTTCAAAAATCTCTGATGCTGATAAAAAGAATTGTGGTAGTGGCACAGCAACAGTAACAGAAACATGATATATTTAACAAGGACATGTCACAGTTTAAAAATAATTCTTACTAAACTTGTTGCAAGATAATCGACTATTATTTTGGAGCAGCCTGCTGGAACTAATACAACAAACGAACATAAACAGATGCAACAGATTTCTAACTTTACCTTATATAGTCCACTCCTATCTATCTATATATCTATATATATATATATATATATATATATATATATATATATATATATATATATATATAATAATATAATCATTATAATACCACTGACAGACCCATTACGATATCTCTAAACCTATACTCTAGCTTGACTTAAAATTGTATATAGTTACTCATTTCGTAATGTAGACGTACACTAGAACGGATTTTACGATACTCCCATAAAAAATCTTGATATTTTATAATTATGTACGTTATTATCGTCTATTATCGTGTGGCCAGCGCAGCGAGCGGTTTCAGGTACTTTCTTATAGTCACCTCTTACGGCGTTTACAGCACGAAGTGACTAAGGAACGGCCAGCTAGCAGCGATACGAAAGGTCATTTACCTTAAAAACGACTGTGGAGTTGACAATCTATTATCAGAGATATTCCCAAAAACATGTAGGGACAAGCCGGTCACCAACTTGGAGCCATTTTAGGAGTTGAAAATTATTTTTTTTTTTTTTAAAAAAAAAAAACAGAGATAAATCAACAGATTTTATTTCTCCGAAAAATAAACGTCCATAGGTATGTATAGGAAACTATATAGGATATTTAGATTTTAGCTGATAGATATGAACGTTGTTTAGTAGTTTTAATTAAAACTTCTTTATTCGTGGTGTACTTTAAAGTTATCTTAAAGTTATTTAGAAAACAGCAACTGTAATAATAAAACTTTTCTTAATTTATTAACGATGCATGTAGGTAAAGTATAGTATAGTATAGAATAGTTTTATTGTGAATGAAAAAATATGGTTATTAATACCTACAAATATTAAATAACTATCAAAAAGTTACGCACCCCTGCTATTCCTAATAATCTTGCATTGGTTTTATTTACATTTGGTATCGCTAGTCGTTGGCCGTACTTTAGTATTACATACACAAATATATAATCAATGTCAACAATATTGAAATACTCACGCGAAAGGCGTCCCGCAAATGAGGTACCAAGTGGCGCCATTCTCTGGCTTTTTTCCGCCGACACAACTGAAGTCAAAATACGCCTCATTGTAATCGTCAGGACATAGGTATGTTCGCTTGTATAAAGTCTGCGGGAAAACATTTATGCCAGATAAGGATTTGTTACCAATTTTAAATTCAAAAATTAGTAAGTACATACTCCGGAACTAATTTATAGACAAAGCGAATGGGTGTTCGAGATCATCTATTAGATCAGGGATTCCCAAACTATTTTGGGCAAGAGACCCCTTTTCCAAGATACTGATACCTCAAACCCCCATAGCCAAATTTCTATAAAAATCCTATCTTTAAGTTTTTTTTTTCCTATTGAGACAAAATACTTACCAATTTAACAACTTTGCGGTTGGTTAAGTGAGTAAACTTGGCATAATTTTCTCATCAAAATTTCACAAAATAAATAGACATAAAATTCAGTAGAGGTCGAGTGTAAATAATAATTATTAATATAAATTACGGTTTCAAATTTTTAGTTTTCGTTTAATATGTTGACCCCTGGGAAATCGTATTTTTATACGTGGTTGAGCCATGTGGCTCGATCGGGGAAGGACCACGCTCTCACATAATACCAGCGTAAAATAGTGGCTTAATGCTGCTGTGCTTTATGGTGATCGTAGAGAACCGGAGACCATTTTTACTGGAAACGAGGCACTCCATCTTAGTCCATAAGGGTGACAACGCATCTGTATTTTGATTTGCAATCGAGGATAGATGTAGATGTCTATGGGCCGCAGCAACCACTTACCATCAGGTGGACTGTGTGCTCGTTTGTCACCCTGTCCTATAAAAAAAATTTGGTTTTGAACCCAAGAGGGCGATATCAACCACTTTGGAAATCCTCGCATTACATGCTGAGACAAACAAAGGAATTATTTCAAGTGATGCGAAAGAACGCGCAGTAATGCATCGAAAATCATTAGCAATCAACAACATGGATTTTGGCGCATGTGTATTTGAGAGTTCGTTTAAATAACTTTAATTTTGGCATCACTCCATAAGTCTATCTTTATTTGTTGTTTCTCTATGTATTTTTCTTTGTTGATCTGAGTAAAGATGTAACATCAGATCTTAGAAATTCTAAGCGCCTGATCCATTGTTATTATTTCCCTCACGACAAAAATGTAGGATGCAATGCATTTTCCATATTTCTGCCAGGTCGATCTTGCCCGTGCTGCGTGTATGCTGTAGGCGATGCGTCTCGTCCGTTACAACCTGTCATAATTTCACTCCTGAATATAAGTCTCCTCTATAGCTTTTTTTTCATAGAGAGGAGGTTATATTTTCTTTTATTTGCCGTAATGGCCACGTTTGGCAAAGTGGTTGGGAATGAAAGTTTTAATAGAATCAGGCGTTACTTTACGGATATCCATTATATTGAAGTTGTTAGAACTTAATTTACTATTTCGATAGTATTATAAAATAAAATGATGTTTCCTGCCTTAATTGGTGCTGGGATTTGTGGTGTTGGGATTGGTGGTGACGGGGATAGTGCACGTAATTGAGGGAGGGTGAATGGTGTTCCTCAGACTGGGCAGTACATATAATATTATTTCATTACGCGAAAATGAGCAAATTAAGTTCTAACAACTTCAACCACAGATTTTTATATTTTATGTTTGTTTTAGAAAGACGCTACTGCTCATCTCCTGTTTTGTCTCTTTCATTTTTACATCGCCATTCAGTCATCAAGACAATATAAAAGTACAGAGTTGAAATAAAAGGGTTTAGGAATTTAGCAAATGGACCTCAGAATAATTGCGTAAATATTTCAAGACAAAAATGGATCAGAAAGCTTTATGAATCACTGCTTTCAAGAATGACAGATGTATTAATAATAGGTACCATAGTTTTAACGCAGCAAATTATATGAATAATTAAGTTCTTTTATTAATTCCAATTTATTGTATATTATTAATAACCTTTACTTTTCACAACGATATAAGACTACTCGTAACTACTCAATTTAAATTTAAATTGAGTACATAGATATGATATAATTACAATGTTAAAGTAAAATTAGGTTAATATTTCCAATATGGACCATCGATTTCAAAGCCCATATTTTTTTTGTAGATAGTACTCACTAAAAGGGGCACTTACGGTTCATGAGAATTATTTTTTTAAACTTTTCATACAAATTGGCAAATAACACGCAATTACACCAATTACAAAATAAATTTGACAAATGATTGATGTCAAACGTCAATTAGTGTAGGGTTCCGAATATTTTGAAAGTATCGATACGTACTCGATACCAAGTATCGTATCAAAAGTATCAATACTACTTGGTATCGAGTACATTTCGTTAATTTTGGAGACTAAAGAGGGGGTAAGAAGCCGGGAAGTTGTGCTCCGGCGCTCCGTGGCAGCTCCGCCGCTGCGGTATGAGCAGTGCCTCCGCCCTAGCGTAGGGAAGCGCAGGCACCGAGATCGCCGTAGCGGCTGAGGCTGGTCGCCGAAGGCGACCAAAAAGCCGAAGCTGCGAAGGCTGCAACTGCAACACGGCGAGCGGGCACTGCTCTCCCTCCGCGCCTCCGGGCTCTTATATACACTCTAGGGGTAGGACAGACAAGACCACGTGGATAGTGGGGTGCTCTGATTCGGTTTTGGGTACTTTTTGGATATTAAATAAGTAAGTCAATAAGTAAGTAAACACTTTATTGTAGTAAGAATTAGATAATATAGAAATTTGCAAACAATAAAATAAAAGTACAAAAGCTGTATTAATTAAGAAATACAAACAAGTTGCAAGCAATGAAATACAAGTACTAAGGTGGAACTTAAATAGAGTAAACTTTATTCTTATACATATATACATATATAATTGCACTTATCAGCTCTTCCTATGCATCTAATTGGTTTGTCATAATTTTTCGTCTCCAAAATTAACGAAATGTACTCGATACCAAGTAGTATTGATACTTTTGATACGATACTTGGTATCGAGTAGGTATCGATACTTTCAAAATATTCGGAACCCTACACTAACTGACGTTTGACATCAATCATTTGTCTTGTGAATGTGAATCAATTTATTTTGTAATTGCGTGTTATTTACCAATTTGTATGAAAAATATATCTCATGAACCGTAAGTTTCCGCAACCTAAAACTTTGCAAAACGCTTTCTTTTAGTGAGTACTATCTACAAAAAAAAAATGGGCTTTGAAATCGATGGTCCATATTCAAAATATTAGCCAAAAAGGAAAATCTCGTCTTATCCTTCAACATTCATTATTCTTGATGGTGTAGCAGTAAAAAGGTTATAAGTCGATTTTGCATCGAAACAAAGACAATGTGTAAACACTTGGTAAACCAAAACTGTTTTTCGAAAAAAAAATTATTTTGTTTAATGTCTCTTTATGTTTCTGAAATAATCAGCAAAACTAATTAATTTATCAGTAGGTATTAAGATTTCACAAAAATAATCTTTCGGTAAAAGTACAGTCTAGATCACTGATTTCACTACTTTCCATCTAATCGTGAAGTTCCATCGGTAGACAGCCTGCTATTGTATGATATGCTAATGTTTTATATCTTACTGGCATACAAAAAACTTCCGAGTTTAAAATAAACCAGTCTACAGACAGACACTCTTGATGTTTAGATTATTTTAAGACAAAGAAGAGCCAGGGTGTCCTTACCATCGTTAAAGTTGGACCTTAATTAGACTTACCTGTCCAAAAGGCGTCATAAGGCTGGATACTTCATTACAAGGACCGACTGGCTCATGTAAGCCCAGGGACCGTTCTTTATTAGGATCAAAGAATACTACGAACAACCAGTAAATGGCGTAATGTACGGCTAATTGCAGCAAAAGCACGTAGTCGATTGTCGTTAGCCTGAAATAAAAATATTTTCTGGTATAATGTATAACTCAAGCCCATGAAGAATAAAAGTACATATTTTTTATGTCGTAGAGCCATTTTGCAGCTATATTAGTAGCATAGTTGTAGCACGAATGGCTCGGCTCGACCGGGGAAGGACCACGCTCTCACAAATACCAGCTTAAAATAGCAACTCAATGATGCTGTGTTTCGTATGGTGAGGGTAGAGAACTGAAGACCCACTTTGCTGGAAACGAGGCATTCTACACATCACAGGTAACAACGTATCTGCATTTTTATTCATAATCCACCCCACCACTTACCATCAGGTGGACTGTGTGCTCGTTTGTCACAATAATCCCATTAAATAAAAAACAATGATAAAGTCCGTCAACGTGCATTGGGGCAGCGCGGCGTACATTTTCTTCTTAAACTTTTACAGATAATAGTTTATAGGCTGTAGGTAACAACTTTTTCATGATCCTTTCCTGACGACTGCATTTCCTAGTGGCCAGAATATCTATTACTAAGTCGTGAGGTCCTGAAATTGAATCCCAGTCTAATAGCTTATAATTATGAAATTCGACATTGACAAAGAGTTTTGGGGGGAACTTGATCGCTGCTGATTACTGCTCCTATTTTATCTTTTGACCAAAGGTTTGAAATGGGTTTTGGTTGTGCGATTTCGTGCATCAAATGTCAACACGTATGAATTATTATTAGGAACAATGAAAGAAGTAATCCGATGATGATATGGAACTTAAGTCATTGTGTCTGCTATCACATCATCGCTCTGATGGTGCTTTTTTCGAAAAGTGACGATCACGAGGAAAAGCCCTTTCTCCTGATGGTCACTTATATTTTTAATTTTTTTTGTACCATATTTAATTATTACTAACATACTTCTAATAAATGAAATAAACAATTATTATTATTATTAATTGGCGCCTTGAGATACTATCGTCATCGACTATCTGCACGCTCAAGCACCCATCAAAATCTAGAAACTCCGCTAATGTGACGTATCAACATGTTTTTATATGGTCTCTATGATACATAGTTGTACCAATTAAACAAAAAAGGCCACGAACAAACGATCCCCAGAAAATAAAACCTAAACAGACTTCCTTTAAGTTTTATGTAAAAGTTGCCGATTCCAAAGTACTGGTTTGCAAAAAGGTTTTTTTAGACCATGTAATTCAGCAAATGCCTGGATTTGAAACTGTTCATCAATATATCCAAAAAAAATTTATGCACAAAGACAATACTCACCGGGTGATTTACCAGGAACCGAGACACATTTATAATTTTCATAAGGCAAGCCTTTTTTATAGGAGAGGGGGCAAACGAGCATACGGCTCACCTGATGGTAAGTGACTACCGCCGCCCATGATCAACCGCAACACCAGGGGAATGGCAGATGCGTTGCCGGCCTTTTAAAAAGGAGCAGGCTCTGTCCGATTGCGTTTGATTTTTCGCGCTCGAGTTTCATTGTTTGATTTTTTCGCGCTCGAGTTTCATTTCTTATGCCTTTCTTTTTTCTCAGATGTCCCCTACTTCATGTTTACTTCCCGATTTTTAATATTAAATTATAATATTAAATATAGCACTATAGAAATTTGATGCACGGCAGTACAACAACACGTGAAAAATAACCTCAAACTAATAATGAGACCAATAAAATTTTACATTAAACCACTGACTTATATATTACAAGCGTAAGCACCGGGTCGACTGTGCAACTAAATCGGACCAGTATGTCGGCCCTAAAATGACAGTTTAGGGCCAACGCGACTCGGTCGTCAGTAGTGCGCGAGCAGGACAGATTTGCCTATCATAAATATGCCTGGCAGCGTGGTAAAAGTGAGCTTCTTTTTGTAAGTCTTACCAAAAGAAGCTCACGGAACAAGTTATAGACCTAATGGGGATTTAAATGAAACTCAAAACGGCTTTATATTAAAACTAAAAGTAATACTTACTTTTCATTTGTTCTCTCCCTTTCGCTTAGAATTCCGTTAATTACAATAACAGCGAAGATTGCAAAGAGAAGGAAGAATGTAACTTCGGAATGTATTTTTAAGACATCGTGCAGAGGATGATACAGCGGCACAAACATCAGTACACCGCCCGGCATGCCCAGGAGAGAAGCGATGATCAAGGATATCCATTCCACGAGCATACTTTAAAAATAAGTAATAAAATATTTAATCTTAACAGGATTACACACAGCAAAACAATTATTGGATCACTTCCAGTCAAGTCGACACTAACACCACACAAATTTTAACATTCGAAATTGCAAATTATAGCCTCGGCTTGGTGTCGCAGTACGGGTAAATTAGTTTGATTCCATTTCATTAGTTTTCTCATAGTCAACACTCACATGATAAAATGCAATGTTTGATTCTAGAGAAACAACCCCTGTTACTTCCCCCACTTATTGATGTATGTTCAAAGGTCTTGATTATTACTCATACTTCCGCTCACACTCTTATAAAGTTGTATTTATTTAAGTTATACGTACGTTGCTGACGTCCATTGTTCGACCTTGGGAGCGAGCCTTCTGCGGCTGTAGTGGAAGAAGAAGAAGAAACTAGCGGCAAACGTAGCGTGGAAGTAGTAAGAGTTCCATGGCACCCAGTAGTGACGATCAAAAATATTTGGATCGGTGTCGTGCCAGGTCCAGTGCACAAACTTCACAGCCACTATGTCATACGGGATGTCCACCAAGACAGTGACCAACCCGACTGCGAAGGGCTCCGCGTATCGTGGCAAGCGGAGCTTTGAAACGGCATACGCTGCGTGGTAAATGAACGCCGGATCTTGAAAGAATTAAAACATTTATCTACATAACTTTGTAAAAAAAATGATTACATCAAGGAAAACTCGTAACTGGCATACTTATGATCTAATAACAACCATACAGAGTGCAATTCAACTGGAGCCAACATTTGTGTAAAATAAAAATTTCCCAATTGCTACTTTAGCAAGTGGGACGTATGCTGAAGATGAAAGCTGATGGTTCTCGTGTCATCCCATATAAATTTGATCAAGATCTGACCAGTAGTTTTTGAGTCATCCTTAATAATGCGTATTTAATTGACTTCGACGTTGATGATGTTTTCATTTTATTTATATTGAAGTCGTTTGTACAATTTTTTTACTACTTGTTTAAATTCAATCCGTACAAAGTCAAAAGGACAATAAGCCAAGAAACGATCCTTAAATTTAAAATTAACTTACATACAAAAATTATGTGAAGAGGCAGCCTGGCGCCCAGTAGCATCACGGGTGTTTGAGAGTGCCAGAAATTATCGTATTCAGGAAGCACGAAATGCCAGAAGTTGTCCGAGAAAAGTCCGTGTAACACAGTTCCTAGCCAAAAATAAGGCCATCTTCCACCTTTTATTAGTGCTGCAATAAAAGGAAACTTAATGAATACCTAAATTATTAAAGATGTTTAAAAGTATCGGAATCCTCAGCGTCGACATATCGAGTGACGTGTAGTTTCGTGGTCACTTGGGAGGGAAGGCCAAATTGGCCTCTAAAAAGCTTGACGTGCTCAGCAGAGCGGGACAGTATTTCATGCCGGCACACCGCCTGCAACTTTACAAGGCGCAGGTTCGGCCGCACATGGAATACTGTTCCCATCTCTGGGCTGGGGCTCCCCAGTGCCAGCTCCTTCCACTTGACCGCATCCAGCGCAGAGCGGCTCGAATCGTCGACGACCGAGTGCTTTCCGATCGGCTCGATTCACTGGCACTGCGAAGAGATGTTGCGTCTCTTTGCATTTTCTTTCGCATATACCATGGCGAGTGCTCTGAGGAATTATTCGGATTAATCCCAGCCGCCAAATTTCGTGAACGCACTACGCGGAAAATGTCCACCATCCCGTCCCGTGCCGTCAACGTCCCGATACCATCCATACCATCTGGATGCTTGGCGGTCCACCATTGTACGTTTCAAAAGGAGTTTTCTTCCGCGTACAACCTCTCTGTGGAAGAGTTTACCACCGGCGATTTTTCGGACCGATACGACCTGGGGACCTTCAAGAAAAGAGCTTACTCCGTTCTAAAGGGCCGGCAACGCACCTGCAATTTTGGTGTTGCGGTTGATCATGGGCGGCGGTAGTCACTTCACATCAGGTGAGCCGCATGCTCGTTTGCCCTCTCTTCTATAAAAAAAAATTATTTATCAACCCAAACAAAAAAATCAGTTAAGGATATTAAATAATTATAATATAATGTACACTCATATTTTCAACCGACTTTAAAAAAATGAAGAGGTTCTCATATCGACTGTATTTTTATATGTTACCCCAGAACTCTTTTCTAGGTGCACCGATTTTGATTTTTCCTTTTTATTTGAAAGCTGATACTTCTCATGTGGTCGCATATAAAGTAATTTTTGAGCTATCCTTAAAATGCGTATTTAATTGACTTCAACTACATTTCATTTAAACTGACTTCAGTTTTCTTCAGTTCAGGTCGGCCAATAGATTTAATTTTACCACTTGTTATTAATTAGTCTAATAGTTGTTTTTTTTATAGGATAGGGTGACAAACGAGCACACAGTCCACTTGAGGGTAAGTGGTTGCTGTGGCCCATATACATTTACATCTATCCTCGATTACGAATCAAAATGCAGATGCGTTGTCACCCGTGAGGACTAAGATGGAATGCCTCCTTTCCAGTAAAAAGGGTCTCCGATTCTCTACACTCACCATACGAAAGACAGCAGCATTACGCTACTATTTTACGCTGGTATTCATTGGTACAATTTTAAAAAAAAGGAGTTTGCTTATGAAACAATTATAAATGTATACTCCCCGGCTTATAATATATTTATAATATAATTATGCCATTTTGTTTTCTTTTAATATAATCATATGCTTAAATAAATATCGAAACCTATTTTATCAAAATACACTATAAAAATATTTATTAATATAAAAAAATATATCTTATTTTCATGTCATGTTACAATTCTGTCATCTCACCTGCCGTAACTGAAAGACTAAAAATTTAACATAAAACCGCTAAAGTATGTTTTTATCTTAAGCTACGCGTGTAGTATAGTTTGAAGTTAGTAGCTTGCTAATTCCGTTGAGAAAAACTCAAAAAATATTGCGTCAGTTTCGATTCACTGTAGGAAAGCGTGTTTGCGCCAGTCGTTGGAGTATTTCCTTTGGTAAGTATATGTTTTTGTATTTCGTCGTTACGAAATTGTAAACTTGGCGTCACTTCTCTGGTATATTTCATACCAGGGAAGAAAAAAACGCACCAGTGAAGTGACAAAATTTTGTTTAGTTAATATTAAATGTTATAATGCTTCATTTCATTAGTTCTAGATAGGCCGTAATCGAACAAGGGAACAGAAGGCTAGAAAAATTACGCTCCAAAGAATAAAAATGGTATGGTTAAAAATCCATCTACGTCTGATTGAAGACCAACCTCCAATTCCACAAAACAATGTTTTTTTTTTAAATATAGAATAAAGGTGACAAACGAGCACACAATCCACCTGATGGTAAGTGGATGCTGTAGCCAATAGATATCTACATTTATCCTCAATTAAGAATCAAAATGCATATGCGTTGTCACCCCTGAGTACTGAGAGGGAATGCTTCGTTTTCAGTGAAAACGGTCTCCAGTTCTCTAAATTCACCATACAAAACACAGCATAGTTTAAGCTGCTATTTTATGCTGGCATTACCCCGGTCGAGCCGACCCATTTGTGCTGAAACCATAATAAAGCTGCAGCGTGGCTCTACCATGTACTCGTAAAATATAGAAAATCCATTAAATATAATAATGAATATAGTAATATCATATAGTAGTGGTCAGCTGAAACAAGGAAATAAAGTTATAAAAGCAAAAATATGAAATTAAACAGTTACTACAAATGTTACATGCGTATCAAAAGAAGCTAATGGCATATGTTCGTCAGATTGATGAAGAAGAAGGAGAGATTAGGGTTACTTTTCAAAAGACCTCCAATGAAAAAAGAAAAAATACTGTTCTCATCTCATGTCCGGGGTACCCCAGTGCCAGCTCCTTCCACTTGACCGCATCCAGCGCAGAGAGGTTCGAATCGTCGACGACCGAGTTCTTTCTGATCGGCTCGATTCACTGGCGCTGCGTAGAGATGTTGTGCATACCTTCAAGTTTTCTATCGCATCTACCACGGGGAGTGTTCCGAATGTTCGGATTAGTTCCAGCCACCAAATTTATCGAATGCACATCACGTCAAAATTTATGAGATGCTTGGCGGTCCACCACTGTTCGTTTTACTAGGAGTTTTCTTCTTCGTACAACCTCTGTGGAATTGTTTACCACCGGCGGCATTTTTCCGGACCGGTACGACTTAGGGGCTTTCAATAAAAGAGCTTACTGCTTTCTAAAAGTCCGACAATGCACCTTTAATTCCCCTAGTGTTGGGGTTGTTCATGGGCGGCGATAGTCACTTACCATCAGGTGGGCCGCATGCTCGTTTGTCCCCTCTTGTATAAAAAAAATGAAGAAGGTTCTCTTTTGATGTTAAATAGGAACAGATCTTCACCATACTATCAGTGCCAAATGTACTTGTGAAGGGTAACAGAGTATTCTACTAGTTCCAGAGCCAGTTGATGTATTTGAAAAGTAAATTGTTGATTGTTATGTACTTAAGTAAATAATATTTAGTTTAGCAAAACTACGCGGGAGTACGGACAAACTACTTACCATGTATCAGAGTTATAAAACCAGCAAAACAGTAGACACACTGAGATATTAAGTAGGTTGGCTGTGCCTCCCACAGCTGAGCGATGTCTCGAGTTTGTATCAGCCACTCCGACCACTGAAACAATATTCAAGAAAATATAAGATTTACCATCAAAATCGAAAACAACATGGCCGCCAGGGCCGTTTGTTATTTGTAGATTGAATAGAGGGGATATATTACGCCATTGTTGCTACGCTTGGGAAGGTTGTTTCTTTTTATTAAGCTTTTCTCAGGATATTCCTGCTCTACTGCTACCCAATCTCCTTGTTCAATTTCCCTCTGTCGCTTCTTACGACAACCACGGGATAATATGAGGTAGTGGATATTCTTACACTACCACTACGCCATATTTTTTTATATAGAAGAGGGGGCAAACGAGCATGCGGCTCACCTGATGTTAAGTGACTACCGCCGCCCATGATCAACCGCCACACCAGGGGATTTGCAGGTGCGTTGCCGGCCCTTTAGAAAGGAGTAAGCTCTTTTCTTGAAGGTCCCTAGGTCGTACCGGTCCGGAAAAATCGCTGGTAGTAAACTATTCCACAGAGAGGTCGTACGCGGAAGAAAGCTCCTTGTGAAACCTACAGTGGTGAAACGCCAAGCATCCAGATGGTGTGGATAGTATCGGGACGTTTGCCGCATAGTGCGTTCACGAAATTTGGAGGCTGGGATTAATCCGAACAATTCCTCAGAGCACTCCCCGTGATAGATGCGATAAAATACGCAAAGAGATGCAACATCTCTTTGCAACGCCAGTGAATCGAGCCGATCGGAAAGCACTCGGTCGTTGACGATTCGAGCCGCTCTGCGCTGGATGCGTTCAAGTGGAAGGAGCTGGTACTGGGGAGCTACAGCCCAGAGATGGGAACAGTATTCCATGTGCGGCCGAACCTGCGCCTTGTAAAGTTGCAGGCGGTGTGCTGGCATAAAATACTGTCCCGCTCTGCTGAGCACGCCAAGCTTTTTAGAAACCAATTTGGCCTTCTCTTCCAAGTGACCACGAAACTGCACGTCACTCGATATGTCGACGCCAAGGATTCCGATACTGGCTGAGGCAACAAGGGGAGTGCCTTGAAACTGAGGAGCGTATCTCCTTACTACAAAGGGGTTCTTTTTAGCGGTTAACGCGCAAACTTGTGTCTTCTGAGGGTTAAATTGGACTAGATTTAGTCGCCCCCAATCCGAGACTCTATTTAGCATAGACTCAACTTCAGACACAAGTTTGTCCCGGCACTCGGAGACGTTTTCCCGAGAAATATTGACACGGCCGGTGTACAGAGCATCACCAGTGCTGTCATCTACATAGCAATGAATGTTACCGATTTGCAACATATCATTGATATGCAGAAGAAGCAGCGTTGGCGATAGCACGCAGCCTTGTGGAACACCAGCATTAATAGGCTTATAATCGGAACTTGCACCGTTTACAACGACCTTGATGCTCCGGTCTGAAAGAAAAGTGGTGATCCAATTGCATAATTTCTCGGGAAGCCCATAGAAAGGGAGCCTCGAAAGAAGCGCTTTGTGCCAAACCCGATCGAAGGCCTTCGCAATGATAGTACGCTTGGAATTTCCCTACGGGACAATATAACAGCAGAAACAGTAGGTAATTTTTATATTTATAAAGAGTAATTTCATCATAAAACCGATCAAGTGTTTTGATTATTTAAACACCGAAGGTGCGGCTATGTTCGATATTTTATTAAAAATAAAACTAATTAAAGTAACGTTTGTACGTGGTAGAGCCACGCTGCAGTTGTATTGTGATTGTGGCATGAATAGGTCGGCTCGACCGGGGAGGGACCACGCTCTCACAGAATGCCCGCGTAAACGGCGGCGACAAATAGCGGCTTGATGGTGCTGTGTTTCGTATGGTGAGTGTGAAGAACCGGAGACCCGTTTTAATGGAGTCGAGGCATTCCATCTTAGTCCTCAAGAGTGACAACGCATCTGTATTTTGATTCTTAATCGAGGTTAAATGTAGATGTCTATGGGCCACAGCATCTACTTACCATCCTTCTCCTATAAAAAAAAGATATGCTCTAAGAAAATATTTAAAAGATTGGAAACAGAAACAAGACTTGAAATCTAGTTAATTACTCATTTCGCAAGGTAGATATTCCCTTACACGATCTACGTTATTATTGCCTATTATCATGCGCATAGCACAGCGAGCGGATATCAGCTAGAATTTTAATAAATATAATATTAATAAATAAATATTTTAATATATGTATAATAAAGCTTGCATTGGTGTATGAGTTGTTATGACTAATATGAAGATCAGCAGTGGTTATGAGGACACATCTACAGGAAAGAGATAGGTACACAAAACGCCTTCATTAAGCACAAATTACATTTGCGCAATACAATATATTGATGAAGCTTGTATATTATCTATGAGTACGCAGCAATCACACGAGAAGGTATTACATTAATATTTGTGAGGAAACATTCTTTTTTATTACTATATTCATATAAGAATACCATTCTAAAATATTATTTCACAACTTTTTACGTCATTTATCTGATATTTGCTAAAAACTTTGAGTATTTAATACTCAAAGGCTAAAAATGGTCTATTGACTCAATGCTACTATTGAACAAACTTGTACCTACCTACATTTCAAAATAATAGTCATAATTTTTAAAAGAATGAACCCATTGTTAAAACAGACTAAATATTACACGAAGATATATTTACGCTTTGTAATTTATTAAGTAATTTAGGCGTGATACGGTCAGAAACAAACAGATGGACAGGTAGACGACAATTCAAAAACATTTTCGTCACAAAAAGATACTTTGTAGTGACGCCTGCAACATACATTTATATTATGTGTACAGACAGATGTATAGACATAAACATAACATATATATTCTAAATTGTCTACCTCTGTACGATAACGAATTATGGCGTTAAACTACGGCCACGTCACTTTAGCGTCTACTGGCCGTTTACCACAATAATTACGATATTAAACATAGAATACTATAACACATACATAATAGAACGGAACGGAGGGTGAGGGCGGAACCCGTGTAGCCACTAAAATGCCACAAGACGTTAATTCACACGTATAAATATCAACACAAGATGTGTTTTGACGTTACAATCGTTACCAAATTTCATATGCAAATTATTTGCACGCTATTTACAAGTAAATATGTATTAAAATCCGTCTGTCAACACACTGAATCGAGTTTGTAGTAGTCATTAACTGATAATACGACGTAATTGCTTGTATGTGTGCTCCCGGCGACGGTGAACCTCGGTACAAAATAAGGTTGACAGCCATTCTATTGTGTATTATAGTATTCTATGGTATTAGATTACTGATTCTTAGGGAAAATTGTTTATGCTTATCGGTAGACTCACCTCTTCAGAGATTATTTAAAGTAGTGTGATTGCACTAAACTTTACCTAGATATGGCAATAAACTAGGTGGAAAAAATGTTATTTTTAAGATAGAGTTTGAAGCTGCAGCGGTGTTGTACTTTATGAGTGTCAGTTACTATTACATGTATCTTTTAAATTTTAACAAAGTTAAACCAAGACTTAAAAGAAGATGGTGGATGATAAAATTCACAGAACTGAAATGGAATGACGGTGGAAGACAAAATGAAACGGTTGAGCTCATGTGAACAAACTATAATGTGGCCACTTGACAAAACAAATTAAATACGAAATAGATCTCCATCTACCGTCATATGCCATATGGATTGACATTGTAAAATTATGGCTACAAATTGTGCCTACATCTAGATGTTGTTCCAATTATGGCTATAATTATTTCCATAGCACGGTAGTGTCGCCATAGCAAAAAAGGTGCTTTATAAAACGAGGCGGTATTGATACCGCCTCTATTATTCGGAGCTATGACCGTATTATAGGCTGAGTGGAAAATATGTTGACTTTATTACAATGTAATCTTTCGTAATCGATTCATTAGTTTAGTAGCTTTAAGTTGAAGAAATCAACGAAATGAAAAAATACCAAACTCGTTTATCCAGAAAATTTTACAGTACTTAACATTCACAACAATAAAACATTTTCACACGAGTTGAAAATATCAAATATCTCAAAAAATATGTTTATATGTGATAAAGCCATGCTGCAGCTGTTATGGTGTTAGCATGAATGGTTCGGCTTGACTGAAGAAAAATCACTCTCAGAGAATACTAGCATAAAATAGCAGCCCAATGTGTGTAAGCCCTTAGTGCGCAATGTGTTAATAGTGCCCGCGTAGTATAAATAGAAGTCTTTGGTAGATTATTCGCTAGGCCAGGTCGGGAGCCCTAAGACCAATGAAGCTGTAAAGCCAAAAGGCACTAACATCATCCAAAACTAGTTTTATTCGCAAGCTTAAAAATCGCGTACGACCAGATTAAAAAAAAAATTAAAAAATCGCTATATATTTATACTTGACACATTCTTACTTACATTAAAATTTTAAGAAGTGTTGATCAAAACAATCTCACCTAGATATAATATACAAGACCGCCATTATGAAAATTTTAACTTATTTACATATCTTACGCAAAATTGCTGCAAAATAACACCTATTGAGTCGCATATTAATAAAAAAAATCTAGTAAAGCCCAGCGTCGGCGTCAAATAAACTTAGATAAATTATATTACATGCTCTGAGGTTGTTCGGATTAATACCAGCCGCCAAATTTCACGAAGGCACTTCGCGTCACAACACACCATAGGAATGCTTGAGGGTCAACCACTGCACGTTTTACTAGCAGTTTTCATCAAAAACAACCTTTCGTAAAACCTCTATGGGGAATTTTTAGTGTACTAGTGGCGAATTTTCCAGACCGATATAGCGTAGTCTTCAAGAAAAGAGCTCACTCCTTTCTAAAAGGCCGGTAACGCACCTGCAATTCCCTTGGTATTGCGGTTGTAGTTGTTCATACACGGCACTCGACACTTACCAACTTACCATCAGATGAGCCGCATGCTCGTTTGCACCTTTTCTTTAAAAAAATATGTAGGTAGATAAATAGGTAACAAACTACCGCAATATATAACCGATTAAAACTTTTTAAATCTGGCGTTTCTTAACAACATTGTGAAAATAACGGAAAGCATAAATTATTAATGCAATACCTACATCAAGCTATAAAATAACAGTGTTAATAACAAATAATTTAATTTACTAATTATGATTATTGTAATGCCACGTTAAGCGAAAAAGCTTTATTTTTTTTTAAATTCGATATCAACCAGCTCCATATTTAACTTAAATCTATACAAATGTAGAAAAATACTACCTATATTAGTGAAAATGTAATAAAAATATTGAAAACTAAGTGAAATTATTAATACTTGCTACGCAGACCAAATTATAATCAATCAAAATGGTCACTTACAGTATCACCGGTATAAGTCGTCATAGCGATAAAATCTCCTCGCCACCTTATCACCAAAACGATTGTGTCGGCTGGGCGGCACTCTAATGTGTAATGACTAAATTATATGAAAACAAGCTCAACCGTCAACGTTCGACAATATTATACAATAGAGTAGGGTTGGCAAATACTAAATAAAAATTTCGTTCGAATATTAACTTAACGTTTATACATTTATAACACAATACGTTGATAATATTAAATTATTATTATAATAAAAATTCGGTTATATGACTAGAATATTGCACGTCACTTTACAGATTTAATTAACATTATTTTTAAATTATTTATCATAAATATAGCTCTCAACCATTGTACCTGTTATCCAAATACCATATATATCTAATATTTGTGTCGTATGTAAGTATATAATATTTTAAACACATTAAATGGGAACTTCTCGTTTATTGTAGATACTATTTTTTACATAAATATAGTTTAAGTTAATTTTTAATTTCATTATTACAAATTTTTTGTTAAAAATGGCATGAGTAAAATAAAATTTCATTTAATAATTTTCTTTTACATACTTTTAAATTACATAGGATTAAAAGGTAAGTTTTAAGATTTTTACTTAACAACTCGGTATATTATGAACACACATAATATGAAGTACGACCGAATTATTGTTTTCATTGTCACTCAAAACCGCAAGTACGTTTTTTTTAAGTTTCCATCCTCCGTCCGCTTTTTAGAACATCTGGCACGGGACGGGATAAAATGGTTATAACTTATAATATATCTATATAATATATCTATCTATCTATAGGTGCTAGCCTAAGACGCTGTTAACGTGTGTCGTTAAGAAAAAGCCACGATAATTACGAAAGTGAATAAATCGCCTCTTAGATTTGATTGGGAAGTTTCTTAATGTTTGCTTGAAGACGGCTAAGTCCACCAAGCTACCCCCATTCGTGTTTGCAGTCAGTCAAATCAATCAGTCAATTAATCAGAGCTACATGTTCTCCTTTGCCGCAGAGCACAGAATAAATCAGCACAATTTACAATTTAATTGGTGCCAGCAGAAATCTAATTTGGTTTGCTTGGGTACTAAGTATAATGAATTCAATATGTATAGTACGTGAGGGTATTATGGTCGTCCGGTTAATATAGTCACTTTCATATAAATGAAAAACTACAGCCTTGTTTGCATAACTAGCCTCCATGATACGATATCTCTTCATCAGTAAATCAAATTGTTGCGGACTGCGAGTAAATTCAGCCATCGCCCCGCACCGCACCCACGTCGACACGTCCCCGCGCGTCAGCATTAGAACAAGGGCCCCGCGCCGACGACACTCTCACTAACTCGGTGCCTACGGCGCACCGTACTACGGAATATAAGAAGCTCTTCTGGCGCGGCTTCGTCATTCGAGCGGCAATTCAAACGACAGCAAGCGACCCAAATCAGAAAAACAAGCAAGGAAGAAGCCCTCAAGATCCCTACTAGTTCAGTGATAACTGCCGCACAATACATAATTGTAAATATAGTGAATTATTTCTTAACGGATTTAATTTCAACTCAACCTTATTTAGTCAGACAGATGTTATAGAATTAGGCTCAGTTAATTTCATTTCAATTTGCAACAATATAGTAATCCCTAGCGTCGTAGGAAAACAAATAAATACAGTCCATTTAGCTCTCATCCCCTACACAAATAATAAAGGGTCAGAAAGGTGCTGCTTTGCAGCGTAAAGGATAATGCATTCCTGTCAAACCTATATGCAGGATTCATGTAATTTTGATAGTTGACATTGCGTATAGTAAATATTTTAGTCGATTTTATAAATGTGTAGTGTAAATTATTTTTTTTTTCAAGTTGATTTTTCGTAGTGTCTTTATTATTGCTAATGCTTGTTCGCATGTTTTTTTCTTAATATGTTAGTTATAGTACACGACATCGTATTTTTGTCTCTGTCTTCCTTATAGTTTTGGTTTTATATGGCGGCAAAGCTTAAGGTGACCGTATTACCCTCACGTACCTGAAATAAAAGTTTTTATATAAGTTCTATAAATTAAGATACCTAAAATATCATAATCGCTATGTCAAAAAATGTGTAATAATAATTATTATTTCTTATCTAAATTAATATTCATCGTCGCGTCGTTAATGCCTTTAGTAATCGATATCTAATAATATACTCGTGAAGTCCATCACTGTACCTACGCTTATCTGTTACTGTTCTCTGTTGGAGTGTTGGATATGCAACGTGTTTAAGGACACGTTGCATATCCGTACCAACGTAAACGCCACATTTCGTTTCGTTGTGTTTATTGTATTTCTAGGCCAATAAAACACTTGTAAAATTAAATAAATATCCTAAATTTTGAAATATTAATATCGTTAATAAAATTTAATATATGCGTTACCTACATAGTTTTTAAATCATTCGATGCATATTGCTTCAATTGCTTTATTAATTTAATTTTTTATGAAGTAAAAGTTATATAAGTCCTACCATCATTATTTGACATGAAGTTCTTTTTGTTAATTTATTCTCCTCTATTTAATAGCATACGGGTGACAACCGCGCACACACTCTACCCGATGGCAAGTGGATGCTGGGGCCCATACACATTTACCCCCGATTAATCAAAATCAAATGCGTTGTCACCTCTGAGGACTAAGATGAAATGTCATTTCCAGTAAAAAAGGTCTCCAGATATATACACTTACCGTACGAAACACAACACCATTTTTTAAATATAATATGTATGATAATGTTTATTTATTTCATAACAGCATTAAGCTGCTGTTTTACACTGGTATTCTGTGAGAGGTCGGTTCGACCGGGGTGGGATTTACCATGTCCTTTATTGAGGTCTTAAATTAATTATATAATATATAATAATTATATAATAATTAATTAAATTATGAACCTACTACACACGATATTCTGGATGCTGCGTCACAAGGTTGCCTGCTATCATCTACCCTGTTCCCTCTGCATATCAATAATATTATGACGCAAACCAATAACTTTCACTTTTATACACCGCCCGTGCGATATATTATATTATATATTAGATATTTAATATATGATATATTAGATATTTCTCGAGAATACGTCGAAGAATGCAAGTCAAACTTCTGTCTAAAATTATCTTCGTTAAACAAAGTTTCGGATTTGGGGCAGCTAAATCTAGTGCAGTTCAACGCCCCGGAAGTCATAGGTTTGCGCGTTTACCTCTAAAAAAAACCCTTACCGTATCTCCTCAATTTCAGAGCACTAACCTTGTTGCCTCAGTCAGCATCAGAATCCTCCGATAAAATCCAAACTCAAAGAAAAGAAACTTCCGCATGTATATAAAAATTCCCCGACGTATTAAAAATAAAAATACACACACACTTTTAAGTGTGTGTATTTTTATGTAATAGGTCGGGGAAAAAGTTTCTTCGTATTTTGTTTGTATAAAATTAAAGAAATATCTCTTTGGTTGTACTGTTTGTATACCTATGGCTGTTAAGAAAAAAAAAAGAAAAAGTGAAAATCACTTTCCCACCATTTTTCAATTGTCTTTCTGTCCGCCAAAATAAGAGAATCTAACCATTGAGCTATTATGTACTACGTACTAGAAGCGACACTGCATTCAGCTACTTTGTTCCACTCAACTGCGGTGCATACATAGTGTTGATTAAAATGTTGTTTAAAAAAAATCTCCTGATAAAAATATGGCGTCGTGTGTACTTAGATATTGCACAAATAATTCAAGAAATGTCAGTAAAAACCAAAGAATTACTTTTCATCGGTAAATAAGATACTTAATCAATAAAAAAGTATTATAAATTATACCTAAGACAGCCATTTAGTGTCATACGAAATATAGATTATGAAATTAATATGTTCAGATGCGACATTTCTGTGGGTACTTAAATATAAGACGAATATATTATTATACACATTTTTCTTTGTAGAAACATATATAAGTTATTATAATTAGGCTAGATTTTTCATGTTAAAATCTCCTTATTATTCTTTTATTTTATATTTAGGTTTCCACTTCAAAGTCGAAACGGAATAAATTCGTCCATTTTTAACTCTCGCGTGCCCAGCATTTATGAACGACTCTTATTCTAATTTAAATAAATATATTTGTAATTTAAATGTTATGTTAATAAGTTTTGTTAAACATACATTTAGTATGTTTTTTTATATTTGACATAGATACCTTTTAAAATATTCAGATAAAAATATCATTAAAATGTAATTGTGATATAATATTATGTAATATTATATTAAATAAGCAAATACGATATATAGAATAAATGACAAAATTTAAAAATTGTTCTCGATATAATTTACCTATTTAACAATACAATCTACTATTACCTACGGATTATTCTACCTATGTTTATTCTATGATAAAAAAACCAACCGCGTGAACACAGAGTAGCGCATATTTTTTGTTTGAGATAGGTGTTCTAGTACGTAAGTTAATATTACTTCAATGAATCTAACGAAGAAAATCGATACATTTTGAATTTTTGTTAGAAAAAAGGACGACGCGAAAAAAAATTGCGACGTTTATGGACCTAAAGCAGTGCCAGTAAGAGTAGCACAAAGTTGGTTCAAGCGTTTTCAGTCCGGGAATTTCGATGACAAAGATGCAGCTCGCTCTGGTCGCCTATTATAAAGTCGATGCCATTTTTGAAAAAGTGGAGCAAGATCGGAAATTAGTAGTTACGACATAGCCGAGGAATTGAGGACTGACCACAAACATTTTTTGACCCATTTGAAAAAGTCTGGCTATAAAAAAAGCTCGATATTTGGGTACCACACGAACTCACTGAAAAAAACCTAATGAATCGTAGATATACTCATTTGCGATTCTCTATTGAAACGGAGTGAACCGAACCATTTTTGAAAAGATTGATCACTAGTGTTGAAAAGTGGATCACCTACGACAAGAACGTTTAAAAAATATCATGGTCAAAGGATAGTCAAGCACCACAGACTGTAGCGAAATTAAAAAAAACCGGATT